AAAGAGCTCAATACAACCGTAGAGCAGACCTAGATAAATCTAGTGAGCCAGACAAACCTATTTATAAATATTTAAGCGGATCGTCAGGGAAAGCTTTCCCTGACGATCCGCGTAGGCGAAACCTGAGTAGGTTTGTCTGGCTAACTAGGTTTTTCTATCTATCTATATATATTTATTAAAGACATTTTATTTTTTAAAGACATTTTTATGTTTAACGTTCTTTTTTATAGATACAAGTATTTAAGTAAATGCTCTGTTTATAACAAACAGTATTAAATAACATTTACCGGCCTGAATGTCCGAGAAATTTTCATAGAAAATATTCGTCCTTTGACAGGATTCGAACCTGCATCCTATACGGAACCGTCATTTACGCTGACGTGCCTTACCGTCTCGGCCACAAAGGAGCGTTCGGTAGGCATGGTCGAATTTACTGCTTATAAACTTCAATCTTCCATGAATCTCGTACATTCATAACTGCTCTGGCGTATCAAATGTAAACAAATGACGTCATATATTAAGAAATGGACAAAGTCCGACAATTTATTTATTAAAGACATTTTTATGTTTAACGTTCTTTTTTTATAGATACAAGTATTTAAGTAAATGCTCTGTTTATAATAAACAGTATTAAATAACATTTACCGGCCTGAATGTCCGAGAAATTTTCATAGAAAATATTTGTCCTTTGACAGGATTCGAACCTGCATCCTAAACGGAATATATATATATGTAAATATGAACTGAGGTTGATTATACACACAGATATACCTACAGTATTAAAGAAAAGAAAACGAATGGTGACATACACATATTATTCAGGAGGCAATGATCTTTAAACTGTTTCTTCCCTCGATTTCATTCTGTATTGCCAAGAAATCAAACTTTCCATAGATTGATGTTCCGCTAACAACTTATGAACACGTCGTCGCCCTGTTGCCTCGGAGATCTAAATCAGCGATAACTAAATAAAATAAATAGAAACACGAGCAAATTTTAAAGAGGTTTCCGCTTGGTTGAGTGGACACCTTCAAACCCGAAGCATCTAAGAAGAACAATCAATAATTGAGAATGAAATACTGAAAGATAAAATGGTTTTTGTCTATGGAAATGCCTTTAGAGAGGAATTAGAAGAACGCTTGGCTTCGAAGGGCTTTTGACTACTGCCTCCACGTTCTTTCCCGCTTCGTAAGAAGTGGATTATATATTCTTTATACTGTTTTGATTTTATTGAGAGTACTTCTTTGCTTCATTTTGTTTATGGAAGCAAAACTTTAGCGAGAAAATAATTCCAGAAGCTATTTCTACCATTTTCTCCAGTTCGTCGTTTTCTTTTCGGCCTGGGTTTTAGTGTGCGCATAAATTTATTTTGAACACAGTATCAGTTTGTACACTTCTTTGTGTACCGTTTTTATGATTTTACTGTTCGCTATTGCTAACTTCTTTCAATTTACATTAATATACTGCGGACTTAATGCCGGGATCAGAAGCCTCCTTATTGTGTAATCTTCTAAACTTTGAATCAATTTACCGCCGACTTAATATTGTGAAAGTCCAGAGTTTATTAAATGAACGGGTTTAAACTTTCATCAGCGAATACTGTTTTATTGACCTCTTCTCCTACTATTTATTGAGACTGACATTGATTAGCAGAGGCTAAGATAATCAGAGACGCTATTACGCATAATTTCTTCAGGGAAACACTGTAGGCTTTCGTTCAGACGTTTGCCGAGAGATTTGAAAACTATAGACACTATCCTATCAGGATAATGCCTATATGTCTATACTTATTGATTTATTAAAGGCATAGCATCGGGTCGCTCAATGATCTGAATTGAAACATCTTATTATTTATATGAATACAGTAGTTAATATAACAGAGGAAAAACAGCAACATATGCAGACGACTGTGTTGGAAACAGGCACAGGATGGAATCTAAAGAAACATTTATAGTAAAGGAAAGCAAGAAGAAAGGACTAAACATTAATTGTAAAAAGACACAGCTTTTGCTTCTCAGCGAAAGGAACAAACTGAAGTTACCAAATTCAGGCAAGAACAAAAAATGTAAATAGCTAGTGTTTTCACAAAGAATGGAAAATGTAACATCGAAACGCACAGGACTTAGGTCTCTGATCGGGACCCCGAAATAAATGAATACACACCAGAAATCAAAGGAAATAATAATAATAATAATAATAATAATAATAATAATACAAGGTAACCAAAAAGGTTCTGTCCGTTTCTAAAGGAAAAAAAGAAAACGCTTCACAGTATGTGTAACTTATATTTAGTGTTCGAAGTAATCGCCATCAGCATCCAGCACCTTCTGCCAACGTGTCTCCAGCTGTTCAATGCCCTTGTGGTAGAAATCGGGGGGTTTTGACGCAAAGAATTCCGTGAGGGCTTTGCGCAAGTCTGCTTTATTGGTGAAGGATTTCCCACGAAGATGATTATCCAGGCAGTGGAAGAGGTGGTAATCGGATGGCGCAAGGTCAGGTGAATAAGGTGGATGGCACAATGTCTCTCACCCAAGTTGCTGTATGGTATCCCTGACCACTCGCGCGACATGCGGCCTGGCGTTGTTAAGGAGGAAAAGCAAACCTTTGCGATTCATCAGTGCTGGCTTCTTCTGGCGCAATGCCTGTTGCACACGTTTCAATTGCTGCAAGTATAGGTCTCCAGTAACCGTTTGGACCATTGGTAGCAGTTCTTAATGAACCACTTGACGACCTGTCCACCAGACACAAAGCATAATCTTTCGTGGTTGCATAGACGGTCTTGCGGTGTGAGGGACAGCATCCTGAGGAGACAACCAATGTCTGGAACACTTGGGTGTTTCGTACAGAACCCACTTTTCATCACTGGTAAGCACTCGATTGAATAAGGATGCGGTACGGTGGCGAGAAAGCAGCGATACGCAGGCTGCCACTCGTTGTCCCTTGTGGACCTCCAACCGCGTTTGTGGAACCCACTTGCTCAGTTTGTACGTCTTACCTAGGCGGTGCAGGTGAAGTCTGTTTCATCGGAAACGTTAAACTGTCTTGCAAGTTCACCACACGTTAGACTACTGTCCTCTTCAATGGCTGCCTTCAGGACTCCGTCATTCAAGACCTGTGGTCGTCCACTGCGAGGCTCATCATGGAGAGACAAATTTCCCGCCTTGCAGTACGTTCATCCACAGCACTATCCCCAAACGCTTGACATATGCGGCGACTTGATGCAGCTGCTGATAAGCCCACTTTGAAGTCGCAAAGCAAACAGCCCCGAACGAGATCACTAGACACTTCCATTCTTCTCATAGCTGTCCGGCTTATAACTGATGGCCGGGCACGGTGCGCATGTTTTTTTATAGCGTCTGCTGTTCCTACTTCCGGCTGTCCGAATTTGAAAACAATTGCTACACACATTTCGTATATATTTTAACTCCATTCAATGACTAATCAAAAAATGGACAGAACTTTTTCGGTTACCCAGTAATAATAATAACTAGAAATGCCTGTGAACATTTCACGGTTTTGCTATTTGAATTTTCCAACGAATCTTAATTCTAAACTTACTGATTGAATAAGCCCCATGTGGTAACTACGGCAATAAAACATTTGTAGAAATCCACGTATTGTACTGTTAGATATTTGAGCTGAACAACAAAATATTGCAATAATTATCTTAAACCGGAATGGAGGTCATTAACTAAGAGGTACAACGAAA